TGTCCAGATCGTTGCCTTGCCCGTCGTAGATGTAAACCTCAGACGACATCGACGGGCAGGGCAACGCGCTGTCTTCATACACGTGAACCCCTCGAGTGAAGATGGGGTTGTCGGGATCATCGCAAGCCGCGCTGAAGAAATAATCAGGCACCTCAGACGCCACCCGCGCATCAACAACTCGAGTGAGCTGACAGGTATACAACCTGTGGTGGACTGTGTCACGTTCTCCACACTCACACAACCCATCACACAAGTACCCCGAACGCATGGCACGATCATTGGTCCACAGTCCACCGCAGCTGCAGCTCTTAATTAAGTACTTCTGGAAGCGAGTGAGTTTTCGGGCCTTGGGTCCGACTTCGTCCCGAATCAGGTCCAGGGTGGCCCTAGTCCCTGGAGGGAAACCGAGCTTTCGAGAAAAATCAAATTCCCGCTCTCTCTGCAATCCAGCTTCCAGCTGAACGGCCAGCAGAGCAGGGGGCGTGGCAGACAGGTCTACTCTGAGGCCGTTGTGGTCTATCCAGAAACATGGCCCTTCGGCCCTCCAGCCAGCGCGCTTTAAACTGAGAACCGCTCTAGAGATGGGCCCCTGGGATCTGTTCCAAGTAGGGCACTCCAGATGCTGACACAAATCCCAAAGCTTCAGAAGCTCAGCGCGTGAGACCAGCGAGAGATCGGGACGCCGCGAAGCGGTCCACATCATACGGCACCATTGTATAGCAGGAGCGATAGCATAGCGAGCACTACCATCCCCTAAGAGAGCGATTTTAGCCGTGAGTGAGACGCCCCCGTGAGAAGGCCCCTCACTGCGGGCCATCATCCTCCCAAGGCTTAGCCACTCCGAGGCCGTGAGACCCAAGACCTCCGCCCCAAAACCACAGGCTGGAGCAGCGCCTTGTTTGGGCACCTTCTTAAACGGGGTCTCCTTGGGTCCCTTGAAACGCCTTCGGAGGGCTCGAACCTTGCGAATTCGCTTTTTCATCATAGCAATGCGGCCTTTCTGTTTCAGACGAGCTCGCTGTGCATGCCGTCGAGCGCCAGCAGATTCATCAATGCCAAGATATGCGACACTCGTTTTGCAAACAGATGGTGGCAGCTGCAGAGCCTTGCAAACATCCCGAGCGAGCTCCTGAGAGGTGGAAACAATGGACAGCTTGCCTGGGTGCAGCTCCGCATTCAACTTCGAACTGGCCGCCTGGAACTGCTTCATCCCCGCAACTGCCGCTGACTTAGCTATTACATAATCACTCGAGGCAACGTGGAGGCCTGTGTCATCGATGTAGTTCTGGAAGTCCACGAACGGCGCCAGCTCGACGAAAGTGTCGAAGGCGTCGACGGCATTGACCTTGATCGCCAGGTCGCTGTAACCGTCACCTGCAGGTAGCCCATGAATGGCCACCAAGGCCGTCTGAGCGTGGTGGCGCCCAAGTCGGATGACTCGTGGGCACGACCACATGTTGACAACAAGCTTCAGCCAACAATGTGGGGCTCCGTGGCGCTGAAACTTGCGTCGCAACTCGAGTAACGGAACCGATTCGTAGTATTTGACCCAGTCAACTGTGATGAGAACGCCATACTTGTGAGCAGCTTGGCTGCTCTCTGAACGAGCCGCCTGCAACCATGCACAGTCAGCGGCCGATCTCCCACGGCTGGCACCCCAGTATCTTCTGTCAAGGGCATCATGCATGTGCGCAACCATGGGCTTGCGTGCTCTCTGCCACATACGGTATATGGCGGCATACAATATTATCAGACGATTGCCTCCAGACGGCTTGCCCAGCATCGGCATCTGGATCCAGCAAAGCTGCTTGGGCAGCATGCCTATGGCTTCAGACGCCGAGAGCAGCAGAGCCAAAGTGTGAAGGCCGTCGTCATCGAGTAGCAGGAAGTGCCTCGGGTGGAAGTTATCATAGCTGGTGGCCGTCCCGACTGGAAAAGACAGGGCAGCACGACGCAGATCATCTGGCTCCAGGAGCGGGCACATCGACCGATCAGGTACCCAAGGAGGGAGAGCAGCATCAGAGGCATGCCACAGACGACGATACAGTTCCACTTCCTGCGCAACAATAACAACAGGGTCGCCTGACTGAATACCAACTGCCACGGCTGGCGTCGGGATGGCCTTGACCTTAGTGAGTCGATGCAGGGGTCGAGCGCCGCCGCAAGATGCTGCACTGCACCAGTCAGCCCATGCAGCATTGGAATATTTAGTCTGACCTTTGACTGCCAGAGTAACATCGCCAGCAATATCATCAACAAAAGATTGGATCTGGTCCATGTCCATGGGGATATTATTGATGAGGTTTCGCGCCTGCACAACCGTGGCGTCTAGACGAGCATTGAGGCCTTGTCCTGGGTACGGTGACGTCACAAACAGAGCGATCTCCTCGGAGCATTGCACCATGGAATCATCTTTCACATATAGCGCTTGGATCGTGGTGACCATGTTCTGCAACCACTGCCAGCCTTGACCAATACTCTGCATATCGTTCGGGTCCTTAGTCGGGTATGTCACATTGACCCACCGAGGCTCTAGATTTCTGGCATATGCACTAGGCTCACGAAGCTCCACTCCGACATTCTGCGCGATGTATTCAGCAAAAGAAACAACAAAACGCCCATACACACGTGTGAGGAGTGCCCAGACCACCGCCACGTCACTGCTAGGGTCAGCCGCAACCTCGACGGTGCGCTCAGCGAGGGCACGGTGCAGCGTCCAGTCGATGGGCCTCGTGCGCGGCCCTGGCGGCAGGGTGACAGGTAACTTGGGAGAAACAGAGTACACATAGTGCTGCACGTCCGCCCCATTGTCAACTAGCTGCAGCTGCACAGGGCGATGAGCCTTTTTGTGCCAGGTCATGGCCGAGTTGACTCCCCGATAGCCACGGACAACAGCATCATTGAAGCAGAAAAAGTCGATAGTGCTCGTGCCCGTGCCTCCTCGGAACGTCACCCGAGCGGGGAAGGCCAGCACCATGTCCGCCTGCTGCGGAAAAAGGCGTTGCTCCAGATCTGTCGGTGACTCCCCGTGCCTCCTCGGAACGTGAGCGGGGAAGGCCAGCACCATGTCCGCCTGCTGCGGAAAAAGGCTTGCTCCAGATCTGTCGGTGACATGTTCCAGTCGCCACCCATGATTGCAGGCCCAGAACATGCCGCAATCGCGCGGCCTGCAGTGGCTAACAACTCAGCATTGATTCCGACAGCCCCAGGGGAGTCTTGCATATACACATTGAAGATCGTGATGGGGGGCCATCCGCTGATGTCAACAATAACCTGCTGAAGGCGGTGGTCCCACATCAACTGCCCTTGAGGTGGATGCCGAAGGCCCAGTGCATCTCGAGCAAACACCGCAACTCCGCCTGAGGGAACGCTTCCTGACGTACGACGGGCAGGTATGGCAGAACATTTCCACTGTCGGTTCTGAGCCCAGGAGTAGATATCATCCAAGCTGTCCTCGGTGTATCCTATCTCCTGGCAAAGAAGTATCGTAGCTTTCGTCCTGTGCAATCGTGTCTTCAACGTGTCGCGGCCTCCCGAAGCATTGAAGGTTTCAACCAAGAATGTGCCTTGAACGTCAGGCTGCACAGGACGTCGAACAGCTCCACCACATAGCCGCAGACCTGACATGAGAGGAAGGTCAGGAACGTTTCCTTCGCTTGGCCATGTCGCCGAGTGTCTTGGCAAACGCCTCTGCACCTGACTTGGCCGCCTCGAAGAGCTGCTCTCTCTCATCCTCCTCGAGCTCATCCAGGGAGCGCTTGAGGTCGCCGCCGCCGTCACCGCCAGCATTACCAGAAACATCATCAGGCGCCTGGGGCATGGAGGCATCCTTGGGGGCAGGCATCTTGCCTGCGAGGTGCTCGCGGAGCTTGGCCCAGGCAGTAGACCCGAGCAGCGTTCGCACTTCTTCATCATCGACATCGTCTGGCTTGACATCGAGCGGGTTGGACTCTGGCTTGTCCGTGGTTGTGCCGCCAAGCTGCTGTGCTGCCTGGCTGACCTCGGCGCGCAGCACCGTGACCTCGATCTTCTTGGCCTCCAGCGTGGCGCGCTTGTTCTTGAGGGACTCTTGCAGCTCATCGAGCTGCTTCTGCTTCTCATTGATGTCCGCTTCCAGCTTGGTGACTGCAGCCGTAGCCTTCTGCAGATCCGACGTGGCCCTGCGGTGCACCACGGCGGGGGTGCGCAGAGCCTTCTGCTGGTCACGTATTCCTTCAATCTTCCGCTGAATGCTCGAACGGAGCTCGTCGTTGTCCGAGCCGCGGGGGACCGACTTGAGACTAGCCTCGAAGCATGCCAGCTGGTTCGCAAGCTTGCGCTTCTTGGTCTCATCAGTGTCGTCGTCCGCGATGGTGTTATCCTTCTTGGGGTCAGCACTGGCCTGCCACGGTGGGGGTTTGGCGCTGGCCTCGCCCTCCTTGTCAGCAGGCTGGGTTGTCTGCCCGCGCAATAGCTTCTCGATCTCCGCCAACCGTTTGCCGAGCTCAGACGGCACAGTCGACGATAGGGCCCGCTGACTGGGGCCCGCGCTCTTGCCCTTGCCGCCTCGGCCACCGCCGCCAGCAGCATGCTCCTTCTCCCAGCGCTGGTGCTGCTCCACGGCCGTCTTGCGGATGCGCAGCGGGGCCTCCCGCCCGCAGGCGCATCGCACACGGCAGGCCCAATTGGAGTGTGCCACGCCGCAGGCCCCGCAGGCCCACGTCGGCCACCTGGGGCCGCGCAGGACATCAGGCAGGTCAGGCGGCGGCGGTGCCATCGGCCGCCGCACTGGGATGGAGCCAGCACTGTCGGGATGATCGTAGATATTGGCCCGCAAGCACGAGCCGCACTGAACATACGTGCTTGCAAGCACAGAGACTCGCCTGTGCCAGTACGGCTGGAGGAGGAGGAGGAGGAGGAGGAGGAGGAGGAGGAGGAGGAGGAGGAGGAGGAAGGGGACGACGACGAACACGAGGAGAGGCCCTCCTCCCCCCCGTGGCCACGGCGCCGCGGCGCGGGTCCCTGGAACTCGGACGCCGCGGCGCAGGGCCTCCCGCAGCACCGCCAGCCCCCGCTGCCAGGGCCAGAAAGTCTGGGGCGCGGTGCGCAGGCGGCAAGCGGCGGTGGGCGGGCGCCGGAGGGGTCCCGCTCCTCCTTCCATCCATCCTGCATCCTCGCCCATCCTCAATCCTTCCTCGATCCACCTGCATCCTAGCCCTCCTCCTCGTCCTCCTCCTCCTCGTCCTCCTCCTCCTCCTCCTCTTCCTCCTCCTCCTCCTCCCTCTTCCCTGCTCCTCTTCCTCCTCCTCCTCCTCCTCCTTCTCCTTCCTCCATCCTCCATCCTCCATCCTCAATCCTCCATCCTCGATCCTCCTCCTCCTCTTCCTCCATCCTCCATCATGCATCCTGCATCAACCATCCTCCATCTCCAACCTCCTCCATCCATCCTCCATCCTCCATCCTCCTCCTCCTCCTCCTCCTCTCCTCCTCCTCCTCCCTCCTCCCTTTTCCTCCTCCTCCTCCCCCCTTTTCCTCCTCCTCCTCCTCCTCCCTTTTCCTCCTCCTCCACCCCCCTTTTCCCTCCCTCTCGTTTCCTCCTCCTCCTCCTCCTTCTCCTTCTCCTTCCTCCTCCTCTTCCTCATCCTCCTCCTCCTCCTCCTCCCTTTTCCTCCTCCTCCCCCATCCTCCTCCTCCTGCCTCCTCCTCCTCCTCCTCCTCCTCCTCCTTCTCTCCTCCTCCTCCTCCTCCTCCTCTCCTCCTCCTCCTCCTCTCCTCCTTTCTCCTCCTCCTCCGCCTCCTCCTCCTCCTCCTCCTAATATCCCCTATCCTCCTCCTCCTCCTCCTCCTCCTCCTCCTCCTCCTCCTCCTCCTCCTCCTCCTCCTCCTCCTCCTCCTCCTCCTCCAAGAACCATCCTCAATCCTCCCCGCTCACTCACTCCCTCCCTTGATCCTCCGTCTTCCGTCCTTCTCCTCCAACCACCATCCTCCATCTTCACTCCCTGATTTCTTCCTCCATCCTCCATCATCCGTCCTCTATCCTCCTCCTTCTCCTCCTCCTCCTCCTCCTCCTCCTCCTCCTCTTCAAGAACCATCCTCAATCCTCCCCGCTCACTCACTCCCTCCCTTGATCCTCCGTCTTCCGTCCTTCTCCTCCAACCACCATCCTCCATCTTCACTCCCTGATTTCTTCCTCCATCCTCCATCATCCGTCCTCTATCCTCCTCCTTCTCCGCCTCCTCCTCCTCCTCCTTCTCTACCGTCCTCCTCCTCTTGCCTCCACCATCCTCCTCCATCACGCCGCCAGGGCCAAAAGCCCTGGAGGGTAGAGGAAACAACCCTTGGGAAGTTGTCGCAAGAACGATCAAGGGCGATCAAGGGCCATCAACGCCGATCAAGGGGCCACTGAGCCAGATCTAGCGTGGCCTGAGCCCAGTATTAAGACCTTTCAACCAAACCTAGATGAAATTGGCTGGTTTTAGGGGGACGAAGAATGACATAAACATACAAACTCGAAGGTCTGCGCGGATTTCTCGGATCCGCGCTGGGGCCCCCCTGGCGGCGCCTCCGGCGCCGCCCCTGGCGCGCTCCGCGCGCCAGAGGTCCAGCGCGGATCCGAGAAATCCGCGCGGACCTCCGAGTTGTTATGTTTATGTCAGTCTTCGTTTCCCTAGGTTTAGGTCGGGCATGTCCCCCTACAGGCGAATGTGGGGCGACAAAATATAAAATAGTCACAAACATATAAAAAAAATATCGAACAATCTTTGAAAAGTCGTCCCCAGGCTATCTTCTGACCATTCGTGAACCTTCCTCCTGTAGAGGGACAGGCCCGACTTAACCCTAAATTTTCGACTAGAGCGCCGACCCGACTACCCCTCCGGGCGCGCCACCACATCTGGGTACGCACGCACTCCCCCCTTCCCTCCTCCTTCTCCTCCTCCTCCTCCTCCTCCTCCTCCCTCCCCCCCCGCATCCTCCCCCCCCCTCCTCCTCCACCTCCTCCTCCTCCTCCGCCTCCTCCTCCTCCTCAGCTCCGACAAGGCCCGAGGAAAAAATACGTAGCACCCCACAATTGCGGATAAGAGTGAGGGGGCGGGCGCGGGCGATGCGGGCGTCGTCGAGCCGGCGGACCTCGTGGCCCCCAACTTCCCTGTCCATGGCGCTGTCCTCCTCCTCCTCCTCCTCTTCCTCCTCCTCCTCGTCTTCCTCGTCCTCGTCCTCATCGTCATCGTCATCCTCCTCCTCCACCTCGTCCTCCTCCTCTTCTTCCTCGTCCTCCCTCTCCCCCCCTCGTCCTTTCATCATCGTCCTCCCATTGTCGTCCTCCCCCTCATCGGCCTCCATCATCGTCCTCCCATTGTCGTCCATCATCATCATCCTCCCCCTCCTCCCCCTCCTCGTCCTCCCTCCCCCTCCTCCCCCTCCTCCCCCTCTCGTCCTCCTGCTCCTCCTCCTTTTCTTTCTCCACATTCTCCTTACATCCTCTCTTCTTCCGCGTTCTCCTCGTCCCCTGTTTACTCCTCCTGCCTCCCCCTCCTTTCCCAAGATAACTGCAACGCAATCCTTTTTTCCACTTTATGCTCCCCGCCTTCTTTGATTAAGGCAACTCGCCAGGGCAGAGTTGCTGGACGGGCTGGTGTGGATGCGCGGGGCTTGAAGAGGTCCTTGCGGGCTCAGACGGCATGCAAAAATCCGCCGCCGCGCTTGTGCGGCATTGGTTTGTTCAATGAACGTGGTTTAGGTCGCGGGTGGGTCGCGGGCTCTCCACCTCCACCTGGAAGGAATGCAAAAGCAGCCCGCCGCAGGCGCCAAAAAAATTGGTTTGTACACTGAACGTGGTTTGGGTCGCGGGTGGGCCGCGGGTTCTCCACCGGGAACGAATGCAAAAGATGCCCGCCGCAGGCGCCGAAAAATGTGGTTTGTACCCTGAACGTGGTCGCGGGTGGGCCGCGGGCTCTCCACCTGAAACGAATGCAAAAGATGCCCGCCGCAGGCGCCGAAAAATGTGGTTTGTACCCTGAACGTGGTTTGGGTCGCGGGTTGGTCGCGAGTTGGTCACGGGGTGGGTCGCGGGCTCTCCACCTGGAAGGAATGCAAAAAAAGCCCGCCGCAGGCGCCGAAAATGGTGGTTTGTACCTTGAACGTGGTTTGGGTCGCGGGTGGGTCGCGGGTGGGTCGCGGGGTAGGTCGCGGGTGGGTCGCGGGTGGGTCGCGGGTGGGTCGCGGGTGGGTCGCGGGGTGGGTCGCGGGTGGGTCGCGGGTGGGTCGCGGGTGGGTCGCGCGCGGGGGGTCGCGGGGTGGGTCGCGGGGTGGGGGTCGCGGGTGGGTCGCGGGTGGGTCGCGGGTGGGTCGCGGGGTGGGTCGCGGGTGGGTCGCGGGGCGGGTTGCGGGTGGGACGACGACAACAAACAACAACAAACAACAACAACAACAACAACAACAACAAACAACAACAACAACAACGAGAATCCGCACCGCGGAATTCCACTTCAGCCACGCACCCAGGGACAGTGAATGACCGTTCGGCCCCATCACTCTGATATGTATACATGCATGCACGTGCATGCATGCACATATACATACATTTACATACAGACATACATACATACATGCATCCACACACCTACCTACCTACCTACCTACCTACCTACCTATCTACCTATCTACCTACATACATGCATGCATGCATGCATGCATGCATCCATACACACATACATACATGCATACATACCACTATACAGACATACAGGCATGCATGCATGCATACACACATATACACACATACATGCATACACACATACATGCATACATGTGATTGGATGGTTTTGAACCAACACGACTGCGGAGCGAACCCCCGCATCACAATCTCTCACAGTTCCTTTCCAAGGGATATGTACTATGCACTGATACACTCCTCCTCGGCCAGTCGCTCCTTGCGGCGCCGCCGATACAACAGTGCATTAAGCTGAAATCAGGCGTCTTCGCGCCTATACACACAGTTATAATACTCTCTAGGCCGGCCACCGGCCCAAGTCGTGCTTACACAGCCGCCCTAAGAGACAGCTCACTCCTGCCCTGCATGATCACGAACCCGCACCGGTCCATGAAGAAATCGATCGAATCGTCGCTGAGATGTTTCGTCATCATGTCAGCGGTGTTGAGCTCGCCCGGCACCTTGATGAGCCTCGCCAACCTCTCGTGGTAGATGGCCTGCACCCACAGGTACTGGGTGTGTAGGTGCCGCACCTTGCCAGCACCAAGCCTGAGCGCCATGCCGCGCCCGGCTGTCGCATCCGTCTCGACGACCAGGCCCTTCTTCATGCCGTAGTCGCTGCACATACTCTGAGCGCCCAGGCCGACGCTCGTTCCTCGGACGATCGCGTAGAACTCCGACTCGCCGCTCGACAAGGCAATCACCGTCTGGGTGTTGGCGGTCGCCTTGAGCAGATGAGCACCGTGGTACAGAGCAATGCCCGATGTGCTCCTCCGTGTTATCACACAGCCCGCATGGTCCGAATCACAGGCTACCTTGATCACTTCTGGCTCGTCTTGCTGAACGAACCGCTGCACCATCCTCGGCCGGCGTAGCAAGTACCGCCCGATGCGCTTCACCATCTCCATGGCTACCTGGGTCGGCTTGCTCATCCACCTGGCCGCTTCCTTCGCCGCGAAGAGCAGGTCGATCCTGTCCATCGCGAGGTAGTTGATACGCATACACACGCTCCTGAACAGCGCCGCGTCCGCAGCACCGAGTGGAGGAGATTCGGTCAGCTCCTCCGCCGTTCTCTTGATCCCTGGCGATGTCACCGCCTTGCTGCCCTTGTCCAGGTTGAGCTTCAGCTGGGTCGTGACGATCTCGACGTGGCGGGCGTCTGCTTCCCATTCCAAACAAGGGATGCCGGCCTCGGTCTTGTTCAGCCTGACGATCCTGTTGAGCAGCGTGATTTCCCGCAAGTCGCCGTCGTCCCAGCCAAGAACCCCTCGAACCTTCACCAGCAGCCGCTTAGACAGCTCGGTCCTGAACCACTCCAGGGCGTCATCGTCGCCCTCGCTCACGAAGTCGCCCCCGTGGTAGAACAGCAGGATGTCCATCTC